GGTGAAAATACCTCGTTGTAATCAACGCCCTCTAGCTGTGCATATCCCTTGGCAACCAATCTGGCTTTGAATCTAATTTCCCCAATAGAAGATCCATCTTTCTTTGCATACACCCACTTGCATCCAATAGCCTTCTTACCTTTCTGTAGCTTTGCAAGTTCCCAAGTGTCGTTCTTATGAAGAGACTGCATCTCTTCCTCCATAGCTTCCCTCTACCTAATCGAATCAGAGCTTGACTTTGCTTCCTTGAATATAGAAGGAACCAAATCATCAACGACTTCTACTGATAAAGCATATGCAACCATGACATCGTCATATCTAGCTGGCCGACGAATGTTTCTTCTTGGTCTATTAGCTGCAATGGACTCCTGAACATGATCCTGTTCCTGAGTCCCAACATCCACTGTATCCTCTAAATGCCCGGCTGTCATCTCATATCCTCCTAGTGTCACTGTAGGAGTCTCAATGGATACAATGCTATCTGAAGTGGGTGAAGTCACATCATCCTCCACCTGCTACGATATCTCCTGTATCTGGTCTTCCTCCACCTGCTGAGGAACTTGAGGTTTCATCATGTATGCCTCGTCAAATGTGACATTCCTGCTAATAACTTCTTGTGGATCCCATAAGTTGAAGCCTTTAACTCCATCTCTAAATCCCACAAAGACTGCTTTCCTCACCCTCGGATTCAATTTACCATCATTAACATGGTAATAAGCTGGACATCCAAATATCCGAAGAGACTCATAGTCACTAGCTACCGAACCAGACCAACGCTCCAACGGAGTCTTCCCCTGTATCGCAGTGCACGCCAACCTATTCACGAGATGGCTCGCATAAACCAACGCTTCGGCCCAAAAGGATCTTGACAATCCACTCTGCGTCATCATACATCGTACCTTCTCCAGCAAGGTACGATCAATCTCTCAGCCACCCCGTTCTGTTGCGGTGTCTCACGTACTGTGAAGTGTAGTCTAATGCCGTGATCCCGCCAAAACTGCAGAAATGAATCACTCTTATACTCTCCTCCATTGTCTGAACGAAGAGTTTTTACCTTTCTACCTGTCTGCAGCTCCACTTTCTTCTTCCACTCCACAAAAATATCCAGGACCTGATGTTTATGCTTCATCGGGTATACCCAATTCCTCCTGGAATAGTCATCAATGAAAGTGACCAAATAGTTGGCCCCACCAAGTGATGTGTGCTTGGAAGGGCCCTAAACGTCTGTGTGAATGTAGTCCAAAATACCTTGGGTATTGTGAATAGCTGTGCCGAATTTCACTCTTGTCTTCTTCCCAAGTATGCAATGTTCACACAGCTCCATCTTGCAGGTCTTCGCACCCTTCAATAGCCCCTGCTTCGCCAATACCTGCAGGGACTTATCACCAGTGTGTCCCAATCTCATATGCCATAAGCTGGTAGTATCTTCCTCTGTGGTAATCGAAGCTGCCAGACCCCCTGTTACTGTCTTGCCTTTCAAGTAATAAAGGTTGTTTTCTCTGACACCTCGCATCACCACCATGGACCCCTTTGTGACCTTCAGAGTCGCATTCTCCAAGATCACCTTATAGCCATCTGCCTCCAAAGTTCCAAACGAAATGATATTCTTCGTCAATTGAGGAACGAAACTCACTTCCTTCAGCTCCCAAGTTACCTTGTCACACATCTGGATCCGTACTGTACCAATACCACCAATAGGGCATACGTGATCATTACCCATGAGCACGACATCCCCTCTTTCTAACTCCTCAAAGCTAGAGAACCAATTCCTCCTGGGGCAAATATGGTATGTAGCACCCGAATCCATCATCCACTCTATAGAGTCAGCGTAACAAACTGACAGTAGTGCAGAGCAGGAATAGCCTGAAGAATCTGTATCTGAATTGTCATCACTAGCCTTGACAACATTCACAAGAATCTGTATCTGAATTGTCATCACTAGCCTTGACAACATTCACTTCCGAAGCTTGTACAGCTTTCCCTTTATTCTGACAACATTCACTTCCGAAGCTTGTACAGCTTTCCCTTTATTCTTCCCGGCTTTATCTTTTAACTTTGGACAGTCGTTCTTCCAATGTCCTTCTTCTTTGCAAAAGCGAGAATGATTCCTACCAATATTTCTATGGACACCTCTTGACTTCGATCTTGAGCGATCACCTGGATGACTGTTTGGACCACGGCCTCAAACTGCTAATGCATCTCCCGATGCCTTCTCGGAGGGTTCGCCATCACTCTTCCTCAACTCATAATTCACCAAAGCAGAGGTCACCTCCTTGTAGCTAACCGTAGTTCTTCCATTTATCATAGTGAGAACAAACGTTCCAAAATCATCCTCCGGCAACGAACACAATAGTAGCATCGCCTTGTCTTCATCCTCAACCATGATATCTACATTGGCTATATCTGAAATTAGCTTCGTGAAGTTGTTAACATGCTCCCGAATGGAAACTCCCTTCTTTATCTTGAATTGGTAAAATCTCTTCTTCAAGTGAAGCGATTCTCAATGCTCTTCGTCAGATACTTCTCTTTGAGTGTTTCCCACATTCTCTTTGCCGACGTCTCGTTCATTACGTCATAAATAAGATCCGGCATCAAGCATGACCGAATAACTCCACAAGCCCTACTATTCATCTTCTTCCAAACCTTGTCCTCCATATCAGCGGGTTTCTCTTGTAACTCAAGAGTCTCCTCCAGATTTTGTGTATCCAAGGCGTCCATCACCTGACACCTCCACAATCCGAAATTAATCTTGCCGTCGAACTTCGGAACATCAATCTTCGTGTTATTGATGCTCAGACTCTGTATCGCCTTTGAAAGAGACGATCCCGATGTGCTTATTTCTTCCATGTTGTCGATCTAATTCTTCAAATAGGAATTCTTCAGCGAATCCTTCGAACAAGCATCAAGTCCAACCCGGAGCTCTGATACCACTTGTTGTGCGCAGCGGAAATTTCGGCAGCACCTCCGGTGCGCAAGGTGCACAACAAGAGATTAGATCACAATAAAATTCCCGTTTCTCAAAGAAAACAATAACTAAAAGCCAGATATCTCATCAAAGGGAGATATCAGCTCTTCCTCTCGTCAGCTCTAAGACTGCGCGTCGAGTGAACCTACAAGCTATTACAAATCATGGCAAGAACACAAATTTTTATGTGGTTCGGCAAATAGCCTACGTCCACGGGGCAAGGAGGGGTGATCTACTTGTAGGCATCAAAAATTGCCTATAAGTCTCCACAAACGGTTCAGTGTTAACGAGCGACAATGAACATCACCATCCGACCCACATGAGCCTAATCGACGTCGATGAACGATTGAAGCGAATCGACGAGCCACGTGAGCGGATAGGATTTTGGAACAACAAAGACCCGTGCCAAACGGAAGCCCGGCACTGCTTACAAAAAGGACAATGCCCTCCGTGCCTCAACCACTCTAAAGACAATCCAACCATCAGAGCGGATCGAACTCTTCGTCACGCATCCAACGCACCCGGAATCACTCAAATCCGAGTTCGTACGAAGAATCTACGGGGAAAACGATCAAAATACACCTACGGATGTCTCGGATTCTTGGAGACACCCCGACGTCTCGGAGTTCCGAAACACCCCCAGGGGTGTCTCGGAAATTCCGAGACACCCTAGGGGTGTCTCGGATTTTTGGAGACACCCCTGGGGTGTCTCAGATCTGTGCAGACACCCCTGGGGTGTCCTAGATCTGTGCAGACACCCCTGGGGTGTCCTAGATCTGTGCAGACACCCCTAGGGTGTCCTGGATTTGTGCAGACGCCCCAAGCCCCCTTTTGCCTATAAATAGATCCCCTTACCTCATTTGGAAGGAGGGATTTTTGGAGAGCCTTGGCGAAGCCCTGCTGCAGTGGAGAGTGGCCGTGAGTTTCAACAAGAGGAGGAGAGGTCTTGATCAGAGCCTTCATCACCCGTCCGAGCCTTAGTATTAGCCTTTAGCGTTAATACTAAGAAGAGCTAATACCTCGCTTTAGCCGAGGTATACGCTTATAGCTTCTAGATCTCACGCGGATCGACGAAGTTCTGCTTCTATATCCCTTCGCGGATAGACGAAGCTCTGCCCGATTTTTTCGGAACAGATCTGAGTGCCCCGGTGGTCCACGGATATCAACATCCCCGTCACAGGCCAAAGACCCACGCAAGCAAGAGATGACAAACAGCTCTTGCATTTGTTTGAAAGGAGTTGCATTTCTTTTGTTTTCATTGTGTAATGGTCTTATAAAAAGACTATCTTTTTGTTTCATTGTAACGATCGAAGTTGTAATGAATGCAGCAATGAATACAGCGACTTTTTCCGCAAACACTACTATTAGAGGGAGAGATACAATTGGGGTTTACAATCTCACAAATAAAACCCTCTCACAAACTCTCAGATCCCTCACACAAATACTCTCTCAAAGGGGGTGCTAAAAAACAAAGAACATCTACAAAAGACTTGCTTTTCCTCCATGAATAGCCACCAAAAGCACTGCTCCTTTTGTTCTCTGTGTCTGCAGCAGCCGCCAAAAGAAAAACCCCAGCCCTTGCACTCTTCCGCAGCCGCTCCTTTTTATTCCACCAAAAACCCTAGGAACAAAAAAGCCTATATATAGCCTGGTCCCCACAAGTTAAGCCTCCCACGCGGTTTTCCTATGTCCCATTTTTTTGTTCGTTATGGCCCCCACTTGACGCGTGAACAAAAGACGCGTTCACACCTTGGTCCTTTTATTCTCTGTTTTTGTTACAATTATTCCATGCTTGATTACCAAAGGAGTGTCTGATTTAGCTGTTGAGAAGTGTGAATGCTTATCCAACCTTAGAGTCATGCTAGGGCAATGGATCCTTTGCTAGAGGGTTTATTTTGCTTTCGTCCTCCTTGCAGGAAGTCCTTGATAAAAATTTCAGTAGTTGTAATTACTGCTGGAGGCATAAAGAACATAAATAGCCTTTTATTTTTTAACCTGTTAATAGCTCATTGAAAGAGAGACTCAGATGTTTAAACAATATTTTATCTTTGCAATAAATTAGGAATCTGAGGATCATGGTTTGGACTTTGAAGAAACTGTAGCCACTATTTTGCTCAAATGGAAGAGGTTTTGATGTAGGTGAGTGATTTTCTTTCTCTTTTTTAATATAAATGAGAAACTGTAGCCATCTGAGGATCAATTGTCTCCTTATATACTAATGTTACTTGAGCTTTTTTGCTCAAATGGAAGAGGTTTTGATGTAGGTGAGTGATTTTCTTTCTCTTTTTAATATAAAAGAGAAACTGTAGCCATCTGAGGATCAATTGTCTCCTTATATACTAATGTTACTTGAGCTTTTTTTTCCTTGTAATGGTTAGTTTAAAAAAATTACCTTTTCGGTTTGTTGCTAACATGATATTTGATATGTTTCTTTATTTTTGTAGGGGATATAAAGACTTAAATAGGAGAATGCGGTCAAGATGGCTTTGATATATGAATCTTTTGGAACAAACTTGTACTTTTGTATTGATCATATTTTGATGGTTATGAATTGATCATATTTTGATGGATTGAAGTTATCTTGTAACTACTTATTTTTGAATGATGGGCTTAAAACATATGAATGCTTCATTATTTTCATTTTGATGATATCTTAATGTTGTGTGTTCTTATTCCATTTTTATTTTGGTTTATGTAATTGTGTTTGCTTATTGGTCAAATTTCTTGAAAAGTGCTGATATAGCTCTATAAAACTGTTGTCGTAGCCCTATAAAAGTGTTACCATAACAAAGCAAAACGTTGTATTAGCTACAAAACAACTATTGTCTTTGCTCCCTGATTTTGGAAAAACCGCTGCCCTTGTGTACGAAACCGCGACATTAGGTATCAAGAAACCATCGTTTGCAACTGTTGCATTTGCAATAACTGTTGCCTTTGTGTATGGAACCGCTACATTAGGCATCAATAAACCGCTATAGAAAACGTTGCATTTTGTGAAAACCATTGCGTTAGCCTCGTCATAGAAACTGTTACGTTAGGTTTTGCAACCGCTGCCTTATGGCTAGGGCAACGGCAGCAATGAAGACAGTTTGCTAAGCATTGCACTTGTGCAACTGCAACGGTTTAGATGCTAATGTGACGGTTTTAAACCGTTGCGTTAGAGCAAATATGTGGTAGTGCCTTAAAAATATCACATGCTTGAGATTTAAGGTGCATGAAATATAAAGCCAAACAAACTTTGAGTGGCCCTCGAGAAATTGAATGAAATAAGCATGCCCGTTATTAGTGAAGAATTACAGGAAAATCAGCAAAGGAATCAGCAGGTAGAAGCCAGACAGATCAGCGGTCGACCGCCAACGTGCACAAAGTCTACTGGGAATCGGAGCTGGTGGCGGT